AATCCGGCGTCCGGCTCTCCCGGAGCTGCCGGCACGTGCTGTCTCACTGAGCCGCTGCCCGGCTCCCCTCCGGGGCCTGGGCAGTTGTCTGGGGTGCGTGTGCATGTCGGTGTGCATGGCAACCCCTGCAGCACCCAGCGCAGCACCACTTGCTGGGGTACCACTCACATACAAGCGGTGCGTCGTGGGATGGGGGTTGGAGGACCCGCTGAGCCGGGGAGAGAGGAGGCATGGCTGGCTGCATTGGCACAGCTTGCTGCGGGGGAGAGGTGCCCAATGGGGCCGGCTCTCTGCGGGCACACGGTACTGTAGCTACTTCCAACCCTCGTTGCTCCTTGCAAGCTGGCCCCTGCCAGATGCTACCACCACGCCATACAGAGCTCCGGCCAGCGGGACGCTCTGTCCTGACCTCCGCGATCAGCTTGCCGCCTGCAATGGAGCCAGGCCGGACTTTATTTTAGCACCCGTCGGGAATAGCGCTTAGGAAACGGGATCTTCCACAAAGGCCAGACACAGCCAGTGGCTCCAAGCCCCCAGCCCTGGGGATCCTCAGCTGTCTGCTGCCTGCAGCTGCTTCTAAATATACCCATTGTTGCTGCCACGGGGCCAGGGGCTTGTGGTCCCCTTCCACCCAGGGACCAAACAGCCACGGATAAGGCAGTGCCTGGAACAAGCCCTGCTTGGAAACAGAGCCCCTTCCTCCCCCACCACTAAGTGCCCCTACTCCCAGGGCTTGAACGGGCCCGGTGGGCGAACGGGCTCAGACATGGGGGCTTGGAGCTGCGGCAGGGCCTGGGAACGCTTGCAAAGCAGCTGGAGCAGCTCAGCTCAGGGGCTGTGCCGGGACCTGCCGTAGCCGGAGGCGGCAACACCGAACAAGCGATCCCGGGTGCTGTCACTCGCCTCTCGCCCTGCACCACCCCGAGACTGCTCTGCGTCACCCCCCAAGCCGGCTAACAGCAGTGCAGGTGCTTCCTCCCCACCACGCTCCCACGGGACCTGCGCGTCAGCCCCCAGCTGTTGTATTTCCACCGTTGTCGGTCATCTGTCTTTTGAAGGAGGTGGTGGATGCATCCCATGCAGCAGTGAAGAGCTCTCCAGATAATTCCCCCTCCGGCCATCACATCCTGCCTGCCTAAACCCCACCGTCCCCTAGCCTTCCCCGCTCCCTGTCCCAAACTCGGCTGGGCACTGGTGGCCAGCTGCCGTGTTCCCCCCCACAGGTGACTGCATGTCAGGGGCGGGTGACATGGGCAGACTACACTACTGCCTCCTTCCTAGATGTGTGCAAGAAATAATGTCGTCTACAACCCACCGGCTGACACGCACAGCTCCAAATACACAACACAGGCATGCACGTGGACCTCAAAAATGCTGGGAGATCATCTCCCTGCTCCACAATGAATGATAACCTTTTCTTGTTTCTTTTTTCGCTGTTTCTCTCATTTATTAGTTGCCCAGTAATGTCTCTTGTATTCACTTGCAGTTTTGCACAGGGCTTTGCTGCATCTTTAGCGTGGCTGTGCCTGCTTTCTTTCTTGGAGAGCTGAGGCAGGGTTCGTGCCAGTGCCCGAGAGCTCATCTGTACCGCTCGCATCGAGACAGTCGGTGCAACGAAAGAGATCACCCACGAGCAGGGTGGCCGGGCCGACCTGATGCACTATCCCACTCCTGCCTCCGTGGGCCAGAGCACAGGGGCGTCCCTCCCTCGAGGTCGAGGTCACGAGCACGGCCGGAGTCTGCAGCTGGGTCTCCGGAAGGGGGAGGTCGGAGCAAAGGACCCAAGAGGATCCTGATCCGTTCTCCGGGGGTCTGGCTGCGGGGCCTTTCTATGCTCTTGAAAGCAAATGCAGGCAACGATCGCTCAAGCTGCTCATGGTGGAAAAGCCAACCAAGGCTCCCACACAAAGCCTGGCTGGCGGAGGACTTGGCACCCCCACAGGAGCTCTGAGCAGCCCCCTCCCGTTGGGGCATCTACCCCAGCTACCCCCTCTCTGGGGCCTACTGAGAGCATGTGGTTCTCCGCCCCGGGGCCGCCCTGCTCGAGCAGGAGGATGAGGTGTTAAAGACAGGACCAGCTCCGTGGTGCATGGAGATGGGGGGCTGCACTCAGCGGTGCATGCACGCTGCTACCTTCTCCCGGCTGCCCCTGTCGTGCCGCCATCCGTGCCCACGTGTCCCAGTCCTGAGCAGCGATCTCACCCCAGCGCCTGCCTGCCAACGCCGTGTCCCGGTGCGAGCCGGTGGCTGGGACCAGCCGCGGGGCGTTCGTTAGCACCTGTCAGGAGGTGCTGGCCGTCCCCACCGCGCGGGCTGTGTTGTGACAGCGGCTCCTCACGCGGTGACAGGCGCCAGCCCGAAAACTGAACTGACAACGGAGCAGGGCTGGGTCGCTGCCAGCGCAATGAGAGCAGAGACGGGGAGGGGGCCCTGGGAAGGCACGTGGCCCCGCAGCTCAGACAGTCGGGTGCGTGCTGGAATCGGAGCCCTGCCCCGCCAGGCCAAGTGCATGGGTAAGAGCAGCCAGACCTGGGGGCTGAGGCTTTCCTGTCCCTGCTGTGAGCTATGCAAAGCCCTCTCTATCCTTCTTGCCCCACTCAGAGATGATTGGGACTTCACCCGGGGCTCCGAGCATGGCATGCAGACGGGGAGCCCATTCTCCTGCCCAAATAGTGAACCGAAGTGCTTGATTGCCTCTACCCACCCAAGGAGCCAGTGATGAGGGCCAGGCTGCAGGGCCACATCTCCATGCCCTCCCTGTATATGGGGCCAGGTCACTCACAAGTGGGTGTAACCCCCCCAACCCCCCCCCATGCCACGTGTGGGCTTCCCGGCAGGTATTGCCAAGAGCCAACTGGTCCCTCTCACCCGATGCGAGAGGCTGCAGCTGATCCCTGGAGCAACTCATCCTTTGGGCTGCACTGCTCTCGTGATTTGGGACGCAAGCCCTAGCTCCGCACAAAACTTCCAGCCTGCTGGGATGTCCACGCGGGCTTCAAGTTACAACCAGACTCCAGGGATGAATCAGGGTCTTTGGGGGGCCGCTGCCCTGCAGGCAGATCCCCCATCCTTTCCCAGCCCCTGCCAGTGGCCTCGCAGTGCCCGGATTGATCTTTTGCTCTGCCGACTCCAACCTCTCCGAGTCCATTCCCAGCTGGAGCCGGTCCCAGCCCCCCGCACATGGCGGGCAGGAGAGAGGGGAAACTCCGCATGGGCCATCTGGTTCGCATCCATCCCGGGAGAGGAGCCTGTTGGAGAGCACGCAGGCACACGCATGGCCCAGGCTGCAGCCGCAGCGCCGGCTCCCAGCCCCTCCGGGGACCAGGTCCGGCACAGCTCATTAGTGCCATGTCCTGGCAGCTTCAACCATCTCCCCGCTACCAAAGCAGCAGCCCCTGCCCTAACGAGAGGGAATCTGGGAGCTGTCCAGCTCGTTAGGGGCTGGGACCCATTGTCTAGGCGGCCATCCCCGGCCCTTGATTCGAGGCAGGGGCTCAGAGCAGGACCCAGCTGTGCCCTGCTGCCGTCACCGCTCATCTGACGTCACCTTCCACCCCCCATCCCGGCCTGGCCCTAATTTGAGCCTGAGATGGGTGTAAGACCTGACACAGCAGGTGCTGGACCCAGCACATGCTCCCCAGGCCAGGGTGGCTCATCCTTCCTGCGTAGCCACAGGGGTAATGTCAGGTCCTAGAGGCCTGGCCCAGAGCTCGTCCCTGGGAAGGCAGATCAAAGCCAAGCAGCCTGGCTAGCTTTCTTGCAAACCCACCTGCCGGGATCTCCCCTTCCCGGGAAGAGCAGGAGCCAGGGATCATTTTTATTTTTTATTTGTGTGCGAGGCCAAATTAGCCCAAACTAATTCCAAATCCAAGAGTCCAGAACCAGAAGTGGCCCTACTACCTGCAAACATCCTCCACCCACACCTGGGGCTTCAGATGTTTCCAAATCCTTTGGCAAGTGTCCTACTTGCATCCACCTCTGTTCCTAGCAAACCCTGGGAAGAACAGAGAGATGAGGGAAGGGCCAGAAGAAACTCCCCCAACAGAGGTAGCGGGCAGCAAGAAGTACCCCGTCTCCCGGGGCCGTGGCACACAGCCTGCCAGGGGCTCTCTGTGCAGACAGGGACATGCTCTGGTCCCTGCTCCGCCTGTTGCCTGTGGCAAAGCAACACAGCGGTAGTCCCAGCTTCACACCCCGCCCCCGTGGGACCACTCCTGTCCCACAAAACGTGGCCTTTGCAATACAAGCCTGTCCAGGAGACAGGCTGCCTCAAAACAGGCATGCGGGAGCTCGTGGGTGCAGGGGTTGCACTGGGATGCTTTCCATTCACACCTCCACGTGCAAAAAAAAAAAAAGAGTTCAGGTCCAGCACCCCGAAACCCCCCCGCCACGAGCTCAGAAGCAGCCTGGGCTGCGTGCGCTCAGCAGAGACGGGCTCTGGTTTCTCACAAGACTTGCAACCAAAGCCTGATGGCCAAGGAGCAGTAACAGCCCCTGGCTACGTGCAGCTGTTGCTTCATGTCGCTCCCTGCCCCGGTTTTGCCAGCCTGGTGCATGCGCCCAGGGGAGGCGTCTCACGGCAGCTCCGGACGCGCACGCGGGTGTTAGCGGGCCAGTTGGGCCTGGAAAAGCAGCCCTGCCACGCCCTGCAAAGAGATCACAGGGCACTTGGCTTCCCAGCACTTCTCACACTCCAATTAATAATTAACCTCCCAGCTTGACTCTGAAGTCCCAGCTATCACCCTGCCATCTGCACGCATGCCCCCCGGGCAACCCCCACCCAGCCCTCCCTGCACGGCCCTGACCTTCCCCGCTGATAATCGGTCATGTTCACAATGCACTGTGCAAGCACCAAGCCTTACCCCGGCCTGGCACCCATGCCTGGCACAGAGCGGGCACCCCAGGGCAGGCCCCATGCAGCAGGTCCCCACCTGCCAGGGCCCGGGCTCCAGCTGCTCCCTGACCAAGTTCCAACAAAGCAAACCGGAGTCTCCAAAAAAGAGGACTTTAATCAAAACGGGGCAGAGGGGGTTGTTTGTACAGGACAGTAAAAACAGTATAAATAACAAGCCGGCTTTTCCAAGCCTTCCTGGCCTCGAAAGAGAAAGCTGCAGATGTGCTGGGCCACGTGGCACGAGCACCAGGTGCCCCGCAGGGCATCCCCCCAGCCTCGCGACCGCCTCCAGTTCCCTCCCAGCAGGGTCAGGGGTTTGCATGGATCTCCCCTGCAGCGCACAAAGCACCCATGGTTTGCAGCAGGGGTAAGCCAGGATTCCCCCACTCCCGGGTGCCTTTCTGCTCCATATCCCTTCCCCTGCCACGGGCTCACATGCACCCAGCAGGGAGTTGTGGAGGGGCCAGGCAGCCAGGCAGCAGCCGGGTGGGTCCCAGTGGAGCACACCTGCGTGAGCCCAGCAGCAGGACAGCTCGGCGCATCGCCCCCCTGCCATCCTTTGCAACACACCTGAGCTTGGTACGGTGCCGCTCCTCCAGGTACCCCTTGCCTGAGCTCCTTCCCACCCCATCTGCTGGGGGGCTGAGCCTGTTGAACCCCTGTGCACCCAGGGTGGATTTTCCCCCCAGCCATTGAGCCAGCTCAAATCAGGGCTTCAGGCTGGAGCAGAAGGACTAGTTGGGCTGGTGGCCCGTGTCCAGACCCAGGCATGCCCCGGAGGCACGGTACGCAGGACGTGGAGAGCGAGCGGCTCTCCCCTGGAGCCCCGATAGCCAGACCGCTTGCAGGGGGCTGCTCGCAGGTGGCCAGAGCCCCCTTCCCACCAACCCCGCGGGGAAGCCGGGTCCCAGCCAGGACAGTCCTAGTTCAGATCCCCCGGGCCAGCAGCTGCCCAGGGCAGTCTCTGACTTTTCTGCTCAAGATCAGCCTCATGCCATGTTTGCGGAGAGTCTGCTCCACAGCCGGGTCCCCGGGGGTCTGGGACAGCGCAGGCGGGCGCCGGAGCCTGGATCGCAATCAGCAGGTGCGGGCTGCTCCGACTGACTCGCAGGGACGATGTCCCCGGCTCTCTATTTTTAGCTTGTGCTTTTAAAAAGGCCAGCTCCTCTCGGGGCGGCTGCGTCCAGTCCTTGAGTCACTCGAGTGCAGGGCTCTGCGATCCAGGCAGGAGGCGAGGAGCTGGGGGAAGAACTGCAGGGCCCCGGGCTGCAATTCAAAGCCCCCCCTTGTTTCCAGGGAAGCCCTGCCGGACTCACGCAGGAGACCAAACACCCCCGGTCCGGGGCCTGGTGGAGATGCTATACGTTGGAGACCTTCTGGGGCTCCCGGGCCTGCCGCAGCCCGTACAGCCACTTGATGACGCGGGCGTTGCGCTCGACGACGGAGATGCCGTAGGGGATGCGCTCGGGCGGCTTCTCCTCCAGCGTGGCGGCGCTGCGCTGCGAGCGGGCGCCCTCCGAGCTGGCCGTGCTGACGCTGTGGAACTTGACGGACACGATGTCGGAGCTGGCGCGGGCGAAGTGCTCCACCCCCATGTCCCGCACGTCCTCGGGGTCCAGCCCGCAGTAGTTGAAGAAGCGCTCCAGGTCGGCCGTGGCCCGCGAGTACCGGTCGCTCAGGTCCGACTTGGAGCGGTGCAGCAGCGTTTGCCGCCGGGCCCTGTCTGCCCGCCCGTCCTGGGGGCTCGGCAAGCCCAGCGGGCTGGCAGAAGGGATCCGGGCCTTGGCGGGCGATGCGGGTGCCGGGTTCACCTGGATGGCCGGACCCCCCCTGGCTCGCAGGGCCCCGCAAGGCCGGACGTCCACACGGCGCACGGCCACCGTGCTGGAGGGCTTGGAGGCGCCGGAGCTCTCCGACAGCTTGCTCATGCCCTCCGTCGGGGCCTTCCTCCGCGGCGTGCCCGGGGGCTCGGGCGTCTCCGCCTTCCACTTGCGCTCCATGCCCAGGGGGCTCTCGGGCTTGGGGAAGGGCATGGGGCTGTCGCAGAGGTTGATGAGGTTGTTGAGGATCTCCAGGTTCAGGGAGGGCTTGGACCCGCAGGCCTCCACCCTCCGTGCCCCCGGCGGGGTCCGGCGGCTCGGGGTGAGCATGGCCTTCCGCACGCCGGGCGCGAAGAGCGGCTGCTTGAGCACCAGCGGTTTCACCGGCTCCTGCTTGGTGCTGGCTACCTGCTGGCTCTTGACGTACTTGGCCTTGTCGGCCTCCAGCCGCTCCACCGCGCTGGGCTTGCGGGCGCCGGTCTCCGCCTGCCGCCGAAAGTACTCAGGGCCCTTGTTGAGGATGCGGAAGGGCATGGCCGAGGTGAAGGGCGCCGTGCTCGACACCCCCTTCATCGCATTGCCTGCCCGCAGGGTCTCCACGGGCATGCCGCTCCGGGGCCGCG